TGCTCCTGGTGATAATTCTGGTGCTGCACACTCTGGATCGCCAGGGCGAATATGTGGCCCGCACCGATTTCCTGTGGAAGGCCAAGCTGAAGGTCGAACAGGAGGAGGTCGAAACAATGCGAGGCATCAACAAGGCATGAATAATTCTTAAATGGATAAAAGCGGTTCGATGCTAAGTGGAAATGCGCTTTATTTTCAGATTCTGCTGGAGAACATTCTGCCGGCCCACGTGGCCACCCATTTCCTGCACCTGGAACGCTCCACGGAGCTCTACCACGAAAGCTACTCCTGCGTGGCCGTGATGTTCGCCTCCATTCCCAACTACAAGGAGTTCTATGACGAGACGGATGTCAACAAACAGGGTCTGGAGTGCCTGCGCCTGTTGAACGAAATCATTTGTGATTTCGACAAGGTATGCGGCTGTCTTTAACGAAATCATTTAATAGTATTAACAACTTCATTATTTGAAACTATTTCCCCATTTCGACAAATTAAAATATTTGTTTATAGTAAACGAGTATTTTCTTTAGAAAAAAGTTCTATATAATACATACTTAATGTTTTGGTACATTCATTAAATATTAAATACGTTCAATATTTCCTTGATAATTATCATCATCAGATATTGTTTTAGTATATTTCGATTTTAGTTAGTAGGTAAATTAAGTTGCCTAGCTAGAAGTAGGCCAATTATCCCCTTATTAATTTGATTATTTTGTTTATTTAAAAATGCTACTTACTTTTCAGTTACTGTTGAAACCCAAGTTCAGTGGAATCGAGAAGATTAAAACCATCGCCAGCACTTATATGTGTGCTTCGGGTCTGAGGCCTGGAAAAGAGGACGGCGCTACGGTAAGTGGCGGTTTGTTTTATTATCTGGAGGCCTCTTCTATAATGTCTATCTCGTCTAATTTATGTATTTCCAATGCTTTCACTAATCCTGTAAATAACAACATTGTCAAATCCTGACTTGATTGCCCAATCTAGTCACGTAGCTTTGCGGTAAGTCTTTAAATTTGTCTGCTTAAAGTTGTCATATTCTCTGTGATTGGCTTACATTATCAGACACCATCAGCTTCAAATTAAATGTTTCCAATTCAACCTTACAAAAATGCCGGAATTCAGTTTAAATTCCAACCTTTTTCCCCATTTCCCCCAATAAATCCCAATCGCCCGAGTGTTATTTACTGTTCAAATGCCTTTTAATCGCTGCTTAGCACTTTAATTAAATTTTTACAACTACCAAACAAAGAGGAAATCAAATCACATTGGCTTAACAAAGGCCAAAGAGAGACCAATAAAAAAAGGGTCGCCAAATGAGGGTGGACTTGGGGGCAGGGATTGGGATGAGCTGGGATTCTGGGAAGAGGGCAATGAGGACTAAATCGAATCGGGACTAACGCAGTTCTCCTTTCTGTTTTCCCCATAAAGGACGAGAAGCGAACGGAGGAGCACAACGTGGTCATATTGGTCGAGTTTGCGATTGCTTTGATGTCCATATTGGATTCGATTAATCGGGAGTCCTTCCAGCGATTCCGTCTCCGCATAGGACTCAATCACGGTCCGGTGATTGCCGGCGTGATTGGTGCCCAGAAGCCGCAATATGATATCTGGAGTAATACAGTGAATGTGGCCTCACGCATGGACTCCTGCGGCGTGATGGGACGGCTTCAGGTGAGTGTTGCAACTGGGAGTTTACCTAGGGGCTTAGGAATCTTTATTTAACACTGTTTCAGACACATTTGCGTTTATTTTAATTGTTATATCGCGTTACGCTCACCAGTGAAGTGTTAATGTAATGTAAGGGTTTAATTGCATAAAGTACATAAACTAACTCATGATTTGTCCTGGTAACTACACTCTAAGCTCAAATAACTGTTGGAATTTAGAAATTCCCCTTGAAAATATACCTATAGCTAACTTTACAAATTTCCAAATATCTTCTGTTAAATTCAGAAAATGTTCAACAAGATATGAATTAAAATACAGTACATGTGCGATGTTACAGAAATTTAATGGCGTTTCTTTTTTAATATAACTAGAATCTAGAAGATGAGTAAAAAGGTCTTGATTTTACTAAGACTTATTTTATTAAACAAATCTAACCGTATTTAAATTCACATGTATAAAGAGAGATTTTAGTAAACAAAATAAGTTAAGGTAGAAATAATCATTGGCAGAAGGTACATAGGTATTGGCTACATGTTATATTTAGTTTGATCAGATTTTAACACACCACTTAATCCGCTTTCGCTTATTCCGCCATTATTAAAGTTAAAGTCATTTGACATAATAACTGGATGTATTATAAAGTTAAGATACAATAAAATTTAGTAAAAAAAAAATAAATAAATAAATACATTAAAAAGTGTTAGGAAAGGATTCCAAAAGATTAACCCAAAAATAAACCTTACCCATTATTTCTCCCCGCAGACAACGGAAAACACCGCAAAGATATTGATGGCCGCGGGCTATGAGTGCGAGTGCCGAGGCCTCACCTATGTGAAGGGCAAGGGAAATCTAGTCACCTACTTTGTAAAGACACCTTTCGATGGGAAATTGTAAATCACCCAGTTGCTGTTGATACTATTTAATGGATATTTATGATCATGTACACGTAGCGTAGGCCAAAAGTCACTTCAAAGCATCTTCTTATTTATTTTTTGAGCTTTTCATTTTAGTTGTAATGAATTTGCAAGCATTTAAAGTACGTTGCTCATCACACGCACATGTTAAGTATTTGTTAGCAAGCAATTTGTTTATTAGTTAGCTAGTAGAATTTAAATGTTATTGACTATTTCGTACAATTTGTTAGCTAATCTTATGCGTAGCCATCACTTAAACAGCGAATAATTATATACGATTCGAATTACAATTATGATAGACAAAGAAATGCAAATTAGCCCACCCTAGCCCAAAAGTTAACCCACAAACAAATATAGCCAAAAAACATATCTATCTATCTATTTACTAACTGCTCTGTTAAATTCTTATCTGAGGCTCTCAAGATATGTTTCTGTCGCTTTCCTCTCCATTTCGAGCACTATAAAAATGAATATGTTTAAACTATGCTATTTTTTCGAACGACACTAGTTAAATTCTGTAAAAAGAATCAATTAAACTCTATATATTTTTTTACTCAAATGTTTTTACTGTTACTAAACTTTTAACTACATCATATTTTGATATATTTATGTATATAACTATATAAGATAAAGGCCACCAAAGCGAACTACCTTCTAAGACAATTATAAGCTCAAGAACCGCATCTTGTGTACCTAAAATATCCCAACAAAATACACAATACCTCCGATCAAAACTGACCTGCTTCGATGTGCAAATTGTAACCCCAACGGATTCCAATCGAACTCTCAAGATTTGAAAACCGATTTTGAAATATCTATGCTGGAATACAATAATTAAATAAAATGTCTATAAGCACTCTCTGAACACGCTGCAGTAACTCTTAAAGTAGATTCATTGAACAATATTTAATAATCAATTTCATTGATTTTTATTAAATGATAATTAAAGGAAAACAATAAAATATTATGATGTATTCAAGAAAAGTGTTTGTTTTTTAATAGATATGAATGGTTCTCCGAAATAAACGACTTCAAAACGAATTATATATAACGGTAAAAGATCTCTGAAACATGATATTTATGTCTGTAAGTATTTCTAACCTTTCCTGAACGAAATATTATTAAACTCTTATCTATAAATAACTCCTGGCATTTGCAAAAGATAAGATCAATCCCCAATGGAGAATAAAGATATATAAGATGCCCGCGCTTAGAAAAATAAATTAATATTAAATATTTTCTTAGTATTCAAGACAATCTTTGATATTAATTTATTTTGTACCATTCTGCGTTAAGATTATTCAATAATTATTTTGCGTATGATTATCTCCGAATTACCCAGTTTCAAGTTGTACAACTTACTGTTGCTAGTTTATGAAAAGAAGCAATTTATTTTGTATTTATCCAAAGTAAACTTTTTTCCTCTCATTTATGTATAATTAAAACCGAAATATTTATATTAGCAGTCAGACAAGGTTTTGAATTTTCTATTGGTTTTTTGAGGTTTATTTAGAATTTTACAAGTTACTTCCTTGACATTATATAATAAAAAATGAACAGGAATTTAAAACTGCGTTGAATGAAATGCTTGAAGAAATTATATCATGCTTTTGAATTGCAGCCAATTCGATCTAAGCAAGTTCCTTAGTTGTTAATTGGATATCATGTAGCCGTCGCGCTTAAAAATTGGAAGAAGTTTGTTTATATGGTCGTCTGGTGAAAAGGAACTCGTGAAGTGCTTCGGGCGGGGCTCTCAGTTTACAAACAAAATTTTGTAAGCAATGCAGAAACGATAACGTGCCAGGCCGATCTTGAATGCTGCTGGGGTCAGCAGTGTTCTCCAACCACTTCGCCTAGTAAGTGGCAGCCTTTGTTAGAATCGGTTCGCCGAGGAGCTTGGTCAGCATTTTCGGATCTCGGATGGCTATAAGTACACAAACACAACGCATGCGCAGACCCCGATACTCCGTCGAGGTCCCAAGTCGAGTCTGCCTTGACTTTCAGTTGCCGTCGCGGCCTTCCAACCGACAGTGTCTCAAGATTTGAAGTTCCTCGCTCGGACTTTTCTTTTTTTTTCAGTTTGTAAACCAAAAGTGTCTGAGTTATACAACCTTACCCAACTTTGCTAAATAAAAGGCCCAAAGACCTATGTGGATTTAGTTCTTCTGTTGGAATACTACCCTGGCACAGAACATCGCGTTTACAATCACAAATTTTTGGTATAATCGTCGTGCAAGTTCAGTTAGCATTTACACATGGACTTTTAATATTTCTATATAAATATCGTATTATAATACAAATGTGTTAAATTAAAATTATATTGCAAATTACAGTCGCTTTTTTTTATCAAACTTAAACATACAAAAGATATCTGGTGAGCATAAGCTTAACTGCTCGGGACAAAAAACATGTGTCTTCGGTTGGAAGATAATGTGTATATTTTTATAACAAAATTTGTACTAACTAAAGTTAAGAGATTCATTTATGCACAGATTCTCTAATTTTGAGCTGAAATTCTAAAAGCATATTCTTATAAAAATATTTTATAAGGATTTTCATCCCGTTAAGACTTTAAAGAACTTTACATTTAAAACATCCAGAAGTTAATTCGAGAGGTACTTTTTACTTATAAGCATGATGAGAAAAAAAAACTTTATGGATTCAAATATAGCACATATTTTTAGTTTCCAGCTCAGTTACGAGACACATCTGTTACTAGACTTACACTAACTAAGATATGGAGTTGGGACTCGACTCTACGGACTGAGAGCGAGAAAAATCAGGGAGAAACAAAAGGTATAACAAATCACAGAGCAAACTGCAAAGAAAATCAGGAATCTAGCGATGCCGTGGTCGCGTCTCTAGAAGTGCGGCAGGCAGACCTTGCCAGCAAAAAGCTCGGAGACCACGGTGATCCACAGGGCTAGGACGAACATGATGTAGGATATGCCGATCTTGAAGGTGTTGGGCAGCTGGTAGGCCTGTCCGCCGATCTCCTCGACGTGGAATCCCAGCGGGAAGACGACGGCCGCCATGCAAAACAGCACCATCGCGGTGAACCCCACCCAGCGGGCGTAGGGAATCACATTCCGGTTGCAGGAGGATGAGGCCAGCAGGATCACGGTGGTGGTTACGCAGATGCAGCCCACGAATACGCAGATCAGGGCGATCAGCCATTCCGGTTGCAGATCGGGGGTGTAGCACACCTGGGGCCGATTATATAGCGTCATGCAGGTCCACATGAGCCCCAGTCGAATGTCACCTGGAAATATCAAAGGTTTGAGATACATCTTGCAGTAGGTACTTCCGTGTTTTCCGCACTTTACCTGTTCCCGACTCCGTGATGATCCAATCCGGCAGAGCCAGACTTACAATCGCAAAAACATCGGCCGCCATGAAAAGCGTTGCACTAATTGTAGTCAGTTTATCCATTTTAGTCCGGAGTTTTTGTTATTATTCGTTTATTTATGTTTTGTACTTCTTTCGCTGCCAGCAATACACTAAATAATACCAAACGCCGATAACTCTTGCTTCTTTTATCGACTGAACCAGTTTTTTGGCTTATCGGTTCAAAAGAACCAAACTGCGCGCCAACATTTGAATTCGAAATTCAAAAATGCCATTTCATCATTTTAACACATTTTTTATATGTTTAACTGTCATTAGCCATTTATTTATTATTACAGATTTTAGATGTTGAAAAATATCACGAAAAGACAGATAAATCAACATCCTAGTTGTATATTCTAAATTACGATTAAGCAAACTTAGAGAAATCAAAAGCATGTAATTCTATATTTGCAGACCTCTGTTAAAGATGCATTTTAAAAAAATAGTTTAAATTCTAATTTGGTTTCCCAATGAATACTAATTTTAATCTTAATCCTTAAAATCAAAATCTGTAAATATCAGACTTTTCCGGTGCCGACTTTAATAGTAGAAAAAATTAAAATCTTGAAGATGATAAACTGACTCATGTGTAAAATGTTTGCTTTTTATTCCTTCAGCAAGCTTGGCAAACCGGTAAAGAACCATAATGCTTAAACTGAATTGCAATTATAAAAGCAATTAAGACTGCATATCATACAACGCCCTTGGCTACAACTATATCTGAGCGATATGCAGTGGCATTTGAGGCAGTCTGGCGTATAAAAATAAAGTTACAATTCCAATTATAGGTGAGGGAATTGTATGTGGCCACGTCACATGACCGCAGCTGACGTGTCCTTAGTGTACTTAGTCCGACCAGGTTGACCCAGGTTATGTGGCCGGTCAGCACTACAAGGGGTGGTAGGTTCGGTTTCAGCGCTATCTATTGGAGGAACCCCTTCAATGCCCCATAATTGCCGGCTAGGACCTAGTGGGCTGGCGCTCTTATCGTCCTGCCGGCCATGTAATTCTCGTATTATTATTAGCAAATTCATTTGCATTCATTCACTTTTCGGATGTGCAACTCAACACTTGCGCGCTTTCCGCCGGCATTGAATTACCGTCGCGACGTCGAGGAACCTAAACACGAAATCGAAACCACCGCGAAATCCTGTGGAAAAGGGCTGTCAGCCAATGGAGATTTGTTTTTGTTGATTAGTTCGATTTCTGTTTACAAATGTATCTAAATTATGCTAGGTTGTGATTTTGGATTGGATTGGACAGTCACATACAATAGGCGAGTAAGCTTGCAGAGAAAGAAATAGTGTTCATTATGGATTTTATTTAATTATATTGTTAAAGGGAAAGTTACGATAATCAAAAAAGGATCCACTTTAATAACCTTATTCTGGTATATTACAAATTAAGATACATTTTGGACAAAAGTTTCGATAATTGATTTAGAAATCTAAAGCTTCGATGGTAGGAAATTACAGTTTTGAATATTATTTGTTATAGGCATTAAAATATTAATATTAAATTACTATGCGTTTTAATGCATTTTTTTTAAATTTTTCCTTGTATTTTTTTCTAATTTTCTTCTTATTTTCCTATTTGCAGTACTGCATTTTTGTCCAAAGCCAAGTGAAGCCAACACCGCGCAATCTGAACCTGGCATTCGATACCACAGGCTAACAATAACTAGGCTTTTGTATACACATTTCGTTTATAATTAGGAAGCGGAAAGCTGCCTGCTGGCAGTTCTTGGCACGACATGGTCGTGTCCGAATCAGAATCCGAATTTCTGTTCTCTGGCCCTCAGCCCATGAGTGAGCACCAGGAAGCCATCGACGGGTAAGGTTGAATAACAAAACTAATGTTTTAATTTCGTGTTTTCACCACCTTACACCTTACTTCATAAAGAAATCTGGAAAGTTTACTCGTAACACCTGTAATTGAATGCGTGGTAGAGTTGAATCCTGGGAGTCCGAATAAACATAAAGATACCAACAAAGAAGAGGAAAATCCAGATAGCGCAGATCCCAAGGACCTAGAGGAAAATCAAACAGATACAAGTAGTCCGACAAGGGAAGACACAACTAGACCTCTTGTTCTAGAAGAAAGACACTCTCTGTCCATGTAAGTGTAATCTAAAATGTTTAATTTTTCATGGGATTGATTTTGAAATTTCTCATTTTCAGAGCCGAAACGAAGAAGCGCAGAGCCAGTGTGTATTCCAACGAACTGCTCTTTATTCCCAAAGAACTCGCTCGCAGTGAACTTCAGCAGCGGACGAGGATCCGTAGTAGATACGCCAAGAATCGGGACTATCACCTGCGGATGTTGAAGTTCCCCGTGGGATCGGGTCGCCCTCGATTCGTGGCCAAGCAAATGAAGAAAGGCCAAGAGGATAACCAGCCGATCTCCAAGGATTCCGAAGACGAAACTAACGATTGTCTTGCGGAGGTTAAACAGGAAGAGTTTATTGAGGAGCCGACCGAGGGACTTGAAAGTGCAAAGGAGTTACCCATGAACATGCCTGATTTGAGGGCAGAAAGTAAAGTGAAGCACCAACTTCCCGACGATGAAGAAATCAGCATTATGTTGTACGATCTGGTGAAAAAGGAGGTCGATGATAACAATGACTTGGAAAAAATGAACCGACAAATCCTTCAGAGTCAGCGACAAAGTGTGATAAGATCCAGCAGCACAAAACTCCAGCACTATCCCTATTTGCGATGGCACAATCCGGATCGAGTAGACCAGGACTTCAAGATGGGGCTCTTGGAGCAAAGGAAAACCAAATGGGAGCCGGAAATTCAAGTCGGCTATTGTAAGGTGAATAATGTAGATGCCACAGAATGTATCAGGGAGGAGGATCAGGGGGAATATACTCAAGAACTAGCTATTCCTGACCCACAGGTTGAACAACCATCAGTTTTAGAACCTCCATTACAGCAAACGCAAGCAATCAGTTGCCACGAAATTCCAGCCCCAGAGCAAGTTATTGAAGTGCCAGTCAATGATTTTACTCCTGCAATATCGGGATCCCCTGGAGATTCCGAACAAACAACAAATTCTGCACTTCGTCAGCAGCTAATGCATCACATTGTCCAGCCGAATTTGTGCAACGAGGAAGTTTGCCAATCCATCAGCTGCAATAACAACGCCATCGATCTAGTGAATCAAAACCTCAGGCAACATCAATTCGCTGAGACTTCTATAGCCAATGACCTAAGTCATCAGTGGAACCCCCAAAATAGTGAAAACTTCATCGATCAGTCATTCCACAAGCAGCAATTGCATATTCAGCAGCAATATCTGTACCAGCAACTCAATCAGGCACAAAACCAGCAGCAACAGGAAATTATCTACCAGCAACATCAGCACGAGGCCGAGGACAAGTTGCAGCAAATGAGGGCCATGTATCAGCGCATCAAGAGCCGGGAGGAGGAGCAACTGCGTCTGATGGGTAAGTCCTTGAAGAAGCTCCTGGATGAGCGACTTAATTGCGAACGCAAACATGCGGAGGAGAAGCGTTTGTTTCTGCTGAAAATGGAGCACATCAAGAAGCTGGAGGACAAACTGAGGGTGGACAAGGAGCAGCTGCAACGAAACCTGAGATCCGACCTCACAACTCTGGAGCTGCGAATTACCGATCAGCAACGACAGCAGGATGAGAAGGCTTTAGCATGGTCCTGGCAGCAGCAACAGCAGCAGCACCAGCAGCAGCAATTGCAATTGCAGCAGCAACAATTGCTGGTGCAACAGCAATCTCAGCAACAGCAGCCGCATTTTATGCATCAACTGCACGGCCAGGAATCCCAGCCAAACCAAGAGCAACCATATATGCAGCAACACTCGATTTTGTACGACCCCCCACCTTATGTATATCCACTTGGCTATCAAGAATCGATGGTATATCAACAGCGTTTACAAGCCTATCACGATCAGCAGAACTTTAGTCCAGCAGAGACTCACAATGCAGCGATTGATATGCAGAGAAGACTAATCCTGCCGCCGCCGCCTCCATATTGCCAGTCCAACAGCAGGATCTCAACTGAGGCCAGTTCCACGGCCAGGAAAGTGAGGCATCGTCGTCCAACCGTCGACCAGAGGTCAGATCCATATGCTGCCCCAACGAGGGGCCCCTTGCCACCAGCTGCAGAGGTCATGCGATTCCAGGAGAACCCACAAATCGTACCACCCACAGCCCAAACTCATGAGCCCAGTTCCAGAAACGAACAGATAGGAATCACTTCCATCATGACTAATTACGTCGCTAACTTCATGAATATGCGTGCTGAGAGATAATTACACTGAAAACTTACTTTTAATTGTTAACTGCTTACATGTGATTTTGCTGGAAATGCTTTAAGGGTATATACATTTAGTTTTACAATAAGGGAGTTATCTGAAATAAAATCGCACATTAAAGTGATTAAGTTTTTAATAAACAAATTACATACTGTTTAATAAATTAAAATCAATAAAAAGCTATTTTTATACCCTTGCAGAGGGTATTATAATTTTGGTCAAAAGTGTGCAACGCGGTGAAGGAGACATCTCCGACCCTATAAAGTATATATATTTTTGATCAGGATCACCTCCTGAGTTTATATAGCCATGTCCGTCTGTCTGTTTCTACGCAAACTAGTCTCTCAGTTTTAAAGATATCGAATTGAAACTTTGCACACATCCTTCTTTCCTTTGTACGCAGTATATAAGTCGGAACGGCCGAGTATATCTTATAGCTGCCATATAACTGAACGATTGGAAATGCCATAACTTTGGTGTTTTTAAAGTTAGGAAGTTGGGATTTTTTATGAGTATTAAGAATGCATCATATGAATAATTTTGGAGAATATAATTTGCAGAATATTCTGCAAGGGTATTTCAACTTCGGCTCCGCCCGAAGTTAGCTTTCCTTTCTTGTTTTTTCTTATTTTTGTGAGACTTTTGAATACTCCCAATTCATATAAACTAAAAATACAAGAGTATATATGTATATGTATATGTATATCTCCGTATGCGCGGCTTAGCTCGTAATGCGTCATCTAAGAGTCATTATTTTTGGAAGGCGTCATGACTAAGATTGGAGCAAAATACATTTCAAAAGTGGGGTTGCATATTTTTCTTTGGCTTTTTATACCCTTGCAGAGGGTATTATAATTTCAGTAACGCATTGAAGGAGACATCTCCGACCATATAGATTTGGTATAACTTAGGTATTATGGAATTACTGTTTTAATTAAATTAAAATCGGACAACAATATCATATAGCTGCCATACAAAGCAAAATGCAGCGCAAAATCGACATATGTAGCTTCATTGTTATAGTAATATAGGCATAGAAATCGAAATGTAGTCGATTTGTAATAACTGCAAGGGTATATAAACTTCGGCTTGAATAAATAAAAATTCTTGAAAGAATGAAAGTTTTGCTGATACAATTTTCGGCTTGAAATGCTTATCTCTCCCAGGAAATACCACGGCCACAACAAATGCAAAATATTTCATCAACTGGGAATTTTGATAAGTTAATCCGGGAAACAGAGAATTCCTAATATTTTGTGGCAAATTAAAAGCACGGAAGTACAAGGCACAAAAGATATGAACGAGCTGAACCCCATTACATACTGTCCCGACAATAATGTATCCTGGCAATTAACAAATTTATGCCTTTCCTTTTGCACCTATTTTAGCTTTATATCAAGATATTAAAATTGGTAATATCAAGTTAGTGCCAAGTGTAAGGTTTTTCAGTAAAATCTTGGCCTTTAAATTGTCTTCGGAAGTTTTGCAAATGATAAGTACGGTACTGTATATATTTTCTTTTTAATATCCAGATGGTTCATTTAACATACATATACCCCTTATTTAACGAAAACAGGGAACAAAATATGTTTCAGAATATTTGCTAATTTCTTATCGGGATCACCATAGGGCTCTTTTTCGGTCGGCAAGCTAGTGCAGAATTAGTACAATATAAGCTCTCGACTTGAAACGTTGAAAATATTTTGAAAATGCCGAAGCTAGCTGAGTTCTTTTTGTTGTCCGCAGCAATGGTTTGCAATGGTTTGGTCCTGGTAGGATCCCAAGGACATCCGTCTTCAGTTTGTGTCCTTACAGACGCTCCGACTCAGTGCGGGGCCTTTTGCCTAGCCGCGCTTAATCCTATAATTGATGACCTAGCTGATCTCCGGAACCAGTTTACAACTATGGCAGTCGTTCAAAAAGAATCTCAGGAGGTGTGGGACAGAAAGCAACAAGAAACCAAATCAATGATGGACGAAATGCTGAAAGAAACAAGAGCCATGTTAAACAGCATCAAAGAGAACACAAAGGACAGACAGCAAGACATTAACTCTAAGTTAACCAATATTGAAACACAACTACAACAAAAACTCAAGGGCGATGGTCAACAACCACCCATACAGGATACACAAATTGTGCACCAAACAAATCCTAGGACAGATGTAAGGCCGATCGGAGCGAAAAAGTGGGAAATCGTTTTAACTATAAAAACATGGATTGATGCTGAAGCTCATTGCCGTAGTTTGGGCGGCCACTTGGCGGACTTCCAAAACAAAGAAGAAGTGGAAAATCTTAAAAGGAAAATAGCTATTCATCTTTTGGTTTCTTTCACATTTTGGGTGGGCATTAACGATCGGGAAAAGGAGAACGAGTTTGTATCAGTGGCCTCCGGCAAGAAAGCACCATTTTTGGATTGGTCCGATGGAGAACCTAACAATAATAACGGCGAAGACTGCGTTGAGATTTCTAGTGGCCAAATGAACGATAACAACTGCAACAAACAATTTTTTTTTATTTGTCAGTATTACGATAATAATTAATAAAATGCTGTATTAATCTTAGTTTTACTTTAATTATTTGTATTGCTTTATTACTTTTTGGTCTTGCCCCTTCTCAACTTATAGCTTTTTCTATCCACTTTAAAAAAGAAAATTCGAAAACTCCAGAGAACGACTTTCAGATAATTGAATTTTATTTCGATTTCGCACAAATTTAAAAATACTCAAAATTGCTCATATTTTTTTAAAGAAAAGAATAAGCATCGTGATTAGACCCTCTGGGGACAACATCTAAATACTTAATCGTTTCTTATTGAAAACAAAACAAGTGAATACAAGGAAAATTAGATCAAAATGAATTCCAATAAAATGTATTTATTTATTTCCTTAGCCGATTTTACATCTGTTCAAATGAACAACAATATCTTTATCAAGGTAATGTATATTAGGTATCTTGAAGTCGGTGCACCAGAATGAAGCGATCTTGCTTGTTTTTAAGTGTTTCGTCTAAACAGGTTGGGCGACATAATTTGCATATCGTTCTCTCCTCACTGTTTTGAATTTAAACTACATGGATTCCGAGTTCAGTTTGTTCGAACTAGTAAAGAAGTAAACATCTGATCATGCCGCTGGCAAATCTGAAGTTAAGTCCTCACGACCAGCAAGTGCTAGATTCCATCTTCAATCCCCTCGAGCTCAGCAGCATCCACTCGCAGGATTCCGTCCCCTCTGAAGATTCTCTGAAGGATGTGGAGCCGGATAACGAAGGCACCAGAGCTTCCAGGGAGTTGGAGCTCAAAGCCATTGAATTATCTGAAAAGGGGGAACTGAAAGAAGCCCTAGATTTATTCCGACAAGCACTAGATCGGGCTTACAGAGCATCTGTGCTGAATAATCGTGCTCAAACCCTACGTCTGGCAAAACGCGATGTGGGTTAGTAATGATATTTATTAATTGTGGTATTTGATTGATATGAATATATAGTTTACTTAAAATATAAGTTCTGGAGAATGCCGTTCCTAACAGATAGCTGTGCTTATAGAGGCCCTGGATGACTTGAACAGAGCCGTGGAGTTGGCCAATGATCAGCAGATCCGGACCAAGTGCCACGCCCACTGTCAGCGAGGAGTGCTATACCGCAAACTGGATAATTTGGAGGCGGCGCGTGCAGATTTCGAGGCAGCAGCCCAGTTGGGCAGCAAATTCGCCAGGGAACAGGTAGTCCACTTAATTATTACCGAAAAAGCCCAGGCTAATCCAACACTCTTTCCAGCTGGTAGAAATTAATCCCTTTGCGGCACTCTGCAATCAAATGCTTCGCCAGGCCTTCGATCAACTCAAGTAGAATGCGATAAATAAATGTTTAAAAAAATATATGTATATAATAAGGCACTTTGTTTTGCTCGAAAACTGGTAGTTAGAAAAGTCCACCGTGTGAGTAAATTAAATAAAATAAACCAGTTTACCGTCTAACTACAAAATGGCGAATTTTTTTAATTTGCTGTGTTAATGTCTGACATATAGACAAATCTTAAAAAAATTATTATAGTTATATATTATATAAATCAATAGTATCCGAAGTATCAGCCATTACATTTTCACTAATAAAATCGACCATTTTATTAATTGACCTAAAATTGTAGCCTACAACAATATGTTTGCCTGGGAAAATGAAGAAAGAGATCGGAAAATATATCAGACCCCATTTTGCCTGTTGCTTCATTGTGGGATTAATTCAATATTATTTCCCAGTTGAATTTTGAAGCCCTCCAAACACTTCACCGCGTTTTTCGTTTTTATATTTATTTTTTTTTCATCTCCTGTTTAACTGGTTCACGTGGCCATGACCCGTCTCCCAATGGGCGGCATCCAAGCGATAAATCCATCCCGGCGCAACTTTCTGCGGGAAAACCGGATGATGGTGAGCCAGGTGGCTCCAAGCTACCAGATGCCCACTGCAGCCTCGTTGGCCAGGTGCTGCGGCCCAGTTAAGCAACTGTTGGCAGACGGAACGCGACCAAAACGTGTTCCCGATCGACGGAATCTCTCCGAGAAGCAGGTCCAAACGGAGGACATCAACGACGAGCGGTTCCTTAGTGCCGCTTTGCTCAAATGCTCGGAGAAGACCCAATTCCAATTGCAATCCCACAGCGAAGGCGACGAGACGGTGATCGGCAGGGGAAATGAGTTGCTGGACGAAGGCCCTTGCCTGCGACGCACTGCGTCCAATTTTGAGCTGGGCAGAGTGCCGGAGCAACGCGATTGCTATCGACCGGGGCAGTACACACTGCACCGGCCATTAGCCACGTTGCTCGGCATTGTGCCCGGCGGTTTGAATTACCTGGACAGCGGCTGCTCCTCAATCCGACAGCAGGATGACGAGGTGTTTCAGTGCTGCCCATCCTCCAGGCCGAGCTCTCCAAGAGTCCGTCAAATGGACATTCCGGAGGTGGTGGACGTGGATCCGGAGGACATGCTGAGTGTCCGTTCCCAGGCATCCTGTGAACACCTGCCTGTCCTGGACGCCCAGATCCAAGAGGATGAGTTCCAGAAGCTGCCGGATCCCCTGCCTGAGTCACATAAAGAGCCGGAATCCCAGCATATCCTGCTTTCCAGCGATCAGCGCAGGGTACTTTTAGATGCCGCTCGCGAGCGGCAAAACAAACTGATTGCCGAGTACAACCGATTGCCCCTTTCCATGGGCACTTTGCGAGTTCGCAACCTCAAGCAAAAGCTGGAGCAGCAATTGGACTTGGTGGACTACGATCTTAACATGCTTTCGCAGGCGAAAGTGTTCTTAAAACAGGAACCCGAGAGTGGAGTAATTGCACATTAAAAATTGTAAACAAAAATAAACGTTTAGATAAAAGCACAAACAAAAGGCAGCAATGAGGTGAGGAATTTGTAGAATTTATCATTAGATTTATATTGAGCAATACCAGAAAAGACCATATATTCTTAGGCTTTCTCTGATTTTTTCTCAAATATATATATATAAATAAAAATATCAGAATAAGTACAGTAAAAAATGTATTCTATTACTTTAAAGTCATTCATATTTTAGGGAAAAAAAACAAAAAAAAAGTTTTTTTTTAACAATGACCTAAAAGCTCATCTTTTACGCAATATATTGCCTTGAAAAACATATTTTTTAGGTGACGAATTCCCGCCCAAATGTATTTCTCATGTTGCTTTATCACAATAAGTCATTGAACGGCCTTGACATATTTTCTGTTTGAAAGATATCGAAATTGGCAACATTTTTGTTTGTTTTTAGATATCAGCAACAAGAGAGGCGATAAGAATTCGCAGCCAACCTTGAAAATGGCCATAAAAAGGGCTCTACTAACATCAACTCGATCAAAAACAGAAACCAGCTGCATATCAACATGCCATTTAAAGTACAATCTTTGCTTTGCCTGATTCTCCTCTCCGGAGGTTTAAATTCAATTCAAGGAAAAGAGTTTCCGCAGTGTGCTAATGCTGAAATCGACAGCTTTGTGATGGCCATCGACGACTGTGCCTCGTATATCTACTGCAATGGAGTCGACTCCTTCCGGGACAGCTGTCCGGAGTCCACATATTTCGATGACCGGACCCAGGAGTGTGCCTTCGACGATGCCGGGATCTGTCTCAGGGACTCTGTTTCTGTTTTGACGGAGGAGCAGCCCGAGGAGGATGAGGAGGTGGCCGGAAACAGCACTCCAGCTCCCACACCACCTTCTCAGGTTACTTCAACATTCCCTCCGGGTGCTTCTACACCCTCCGCGGACTCTTCTCCATCCACTCCAGCTCCTTCACCATCCTCTTCAGCTCCTTCACCATCCCCTCCAGCTCCTTCTCCATCCCCTCCAGCTCCTTCACCATCCTCTCCTGCTCTGGAAAGGCCACACTGCGACACATCCGGCGATGGTGATTATCCGCATCCCCAGCGATGCGAGTATTTCTACCGGTGCCTCAGCGGTTACCTCACCATTGTCCGATGTCCTTACAAATATGGCTGGGACTTTCCCACGAAACAATGCAAGCCGATCACTGAAGCTCATTGCTTTTAATATAGCTCCTAGTCTAGAAAATACCTTACCTAACAGAGAAATGCTCTTAATATTGGGTCTCACTTCGAGATTTACCCAAGGGGTTCCATTTTCCTTGTAAAATATGTTTCATCGATATAAGTTTGCTTAACAATAGATTATTCGAGCGGTATTCTTTACAATGTTTAAGAATTGTCTGTTTAATTTATTGATAACAACAATTTTGAATTGTTTATTTATTTAAAAGTATTCATTGTATACCTTTAAGTCTCACCTTCACAATGCCCAAAGCAAAATAAACAGAAAAGTTAAAAATCACTTGGGTTTTTGGGATGCAGTGTATGCAGTATGCAGTGAAAAGTATAACGTCGTATTTCGGATTAAATTCAAGGAACTTACGGATGTATTCACATTTATAAGGGTTTTAAATCTGGTAATTTCTGAGTAGTTAATTCTAAAAACAATACAAAACCGTCCGTAAATAGATTATTACTCTTTTTAGCAAATATTATTATTTTTTTCAAGCTATAGTTCTGAGAACTTGTCACTTATCGAACAATTCGATAAATCAAAATTGATATATAAATCTCTATAGGAAATGAGCTTTGGGAAAGGGGTTTATTTATTTAGGTTTTTGGTTTTTGCAGCCTCCAAGCTGCGACGCTGCTAGCCGAAATCGAGGTGCCCGCAGATGACAATAATAAATAAGTATTTGTGGCATTTTAATGAATTGAAAAAGTGCATAATGAAGGTGCTGGGTGCCCGATGACCAACGGCGTCTCCATCCGGCGGTTCCATTTGTATTTGTCAGGCATAATTCAAATCCAACCAGCGCAGGTATGAATTTATTTTCGGCGTACACTTTTTTTTTTTTTGTCGAGCGGTGGCGGCGGCTGCTGTCGCCGCTTCCACATTTTATTGCAAATTAATAATGCACACGAAGGAGCAACGTAATCCGCTGCTTGTCGGTCGGTCATGTCAATTGTGTCTAGTGGCGGAGTGGACGAAGTGGACGAAGTTCCTCCCGATGATGATGATGATTTGCCACTGGCAAATGTTTTGATTAACTAACTGCGGGGCAGCCAATTAATTTTTGGCCAAGAAGCGCAGATTGCGAGTACAAAACCGTTGAGATTTCTCTTCGCTGCGCCGGGGACTGCCTGCTCATTAATTAAAGAACATGGAATCGGGCGACAAACGGATCCACCACCCGACATGCTGAGAGCCAAATTCGAATCCGCTAAACAAATGGCAACAGCAGCAGCAGCAGCAGCAGCAACAACATTTGGGCCAACAACAGCAACAGCAATAGCAATAGCAACACCAAACAGCAGCAACACGAGATAGAGGAAAATTGTCAAGAGATGGACATTCGAAAAATAGAAAATCTCCAACTAAACCGAAAGAATTGAAACATTTTCGGATTTTTTCATTTCAGATGCGAGCAGCAAACGGTTAACAAAGGTGCGCTCTCGTCCCGCAGCGAAAATCACGAAAGGGAAAATTCGTAACGGTCGCGGGGAAAATGGCATTAGCAAAATATGTGTGAAAAGGAAAACAAGAAGAATGTGAAGGATTCCTTTAATACAGAACCCAGTGATATAAAACCGAGTGATTAACTTATTTAAGTAAATTGTGTGATGTCGTTGGGAGATGAATGTGGAGTGATGAAACACGAAATATAGAAATGATAAATAGACGCGACTCATAAAAACACTACATAAAAACATAAGTCGAGGGAAAATATAATTTGATTGTCGGCACGAGCATTCCATTCGCGTTAATAAAGATGCGGATTCGAGATCCTCAAGCATAAGGGTTAGCCACAGAGCTCTATTATTAGACTTTCCTGGGCAACTGGATTATGCGTGAATCACGGCCACATATAGACCGCTGATCGTGCGAATTTTATAATGAAATTCAAATACTTGGAAGCGTTGACACCTAATTTATGTTCGCCACATTTCATGGAACAAATGAAAGTTAAGCAACCGAAAGACTTAAGCATGATTTTGTTTATCCACACCACCCGCCAACGAGGCGTATGGGTGATTATGTGTAAAATATTACGCATCAACCAAATCGAAATGGAACGATTGCGAGGTGCTCTATGGAATGAATTGCCACGGATGACAAAAGGCAGGCACTTGGACAACAAATCAAAATAGACAGCCTGGCGAGAGCGTTTAGCACAGATCTTTATTTTTTGGATGGCTATTTAAAACGCCGCGGACGAGAACAACGACAACAACAACAGCCAGAGGACGGAGCTGAAAGGCTGAAAAACTAATTTCGGAAAATCAAGTAAAAACTGAGCGAAATACCAAAGAGTTACGGAAAAGAAGGCTGCCTGACTGTCACGACACTTTCTTGTGTGAACGAGCGCCAAAAAGGCCGCACCGCTCCGCCCGTCCCTCCATCCTCCCTCCCCCTCCCCCATGCCCCATCCCCGATCACCCAACCCCCATTCCCAGGCATCCATTGTACCCCATCATCAGGCAAGGCAACCTCCACCATCCATCGTCTCTCAATAGAGAAATGCTTAGATGCGATTCTCAGACCCATGTGCACACATAATGGAATGAAGAAAATTCCGTCGTCCAACAATTGCACGCTGGGCTAGCTGAGATGCAATGATAGAAAAAAAAAAAAACAAACACAAGACTCGGACTTGTCACTTTGCTGCGCTTTTGCATTGGCCAAATGCAAATGGGGGGCCTCCAATGGTCGGCGGTGCAGCATAGACAGCGAAATCCCCAAAATCCTCACCCAGCTTCTTGGTCTAGCATCTTAAAAATAGCCCTCGGACAAAAGTGTGATACAACGGATCCGAACAATGGAAATTGCCAAATTTATAGTGCACCCAGAAACCCACAGCGACACTGCGATCAGATCGCCCAGGCCAGGCCAGCCAAGGAAAACTTATTTTATTTAAATAAATTTCATTTAATTGCCAGCAAAGAACACAAATAGCACTGTCCGTGTGTTAATTGTAATTCCGATTCGTCAACTGGGCACTCTGCTTACCGATGGGTGGCGAGATGATAATCCCGAGTACCGCATCATGTTGACTTGGTCAACGGGGAGCACTCGAATCCGGATACCTTGGAGTGGCAGCCAGTTGTCATTATATCAAATTAAGCGGTTTCCCGGCCCCCCAAAAACCAAACCCAACCCCTTTCCCACAAAAATTTCCCCTGCCAGGGCGTATGAGTAATAAGCCAACTGGCTACGACATAATACGTATACGCCTCGTGGTGCAGACGCTCTTCTAGTCGGCAAAAGAGCAGCGCAAAGTGTGTGTGTTAGTGACAAAACGCTCAATAAATAAACAAAATGCAAACAAACAAATTATGAGAAAACGAAAACAAAGAAGCCAAGTATAAAAGCATTTGTTTACCTCTCCGACATGACATGAATGAAAATAATCATAGCCTATTGCATTTCCCCCTTCCGTTGCAGCTGGTCCATGTGATCCAAACCCAGATGAATTATGGAACATGTAAATAGCACTAATGCCAGACAAACGCAGCATCATCATTTTGATCAGCAGCTGCCCCACAATGACAACCAGCAGCAGTTCTGCCTGCGATGGCACAATCATCAGGTGAGCTCCTCTAGCTAAATGCTATGTACGTATGTCTTCGAGGGGGTTTAATGATGTCTTTCGTTCGCGATAACCACCTCTCTGGCAGCCAGATAAGTAAGACCCACAAAAACTGGACTGGACATCGTTCAGTGAGGCGAGCGAGGCGAACGAAATGTCGCCCCATCTATATATAGGATACATCTATCCAAACACATCCCCGTATACGTACCGATTCACACATAGTTTTCCGCATTTTCATATAGTGACAATTTTTGTTTTCGATGTTTTCTAAGGCGGCCCAAAGGGTGAATAGCGGGTAAAAGCGGGAGGGGCAGTGGGCTATCCAAAATAGCAAAAGAGCCAAATGGACAAAGAGTAGGGGGTAGGGGGGGTAAGGGGGGGAGAATTCGTGCAATTGCCAAAATCCAAAGAATTTCCACTGAGAGTAATTCGAAAAGTTGGAAAGCAGCTGCAGCCAAACCCCTTCTCTTTGCCCAGGAAAATTGTATTTTTATGATCGTGTGACCCACTTACAAGCACTTCTCACTTCTCTACTCCATCTCTGCGTCTCGCCGGATCCCTTCCAGACCAGTTTGCTGAGCACCCTGCCCATCCTGCTGGACCAGTCGCATCTGACGGATGTGACCATCTCTGCGGAGGGCCGCCAGCTGAGGGCACACCGCGTGGTCCTGAGTGCCTGCAGCAGCTTCTTCATGGACATCTTCCGGGCACTGGAGGCCAGTAACCATCCCGTCATCATCATACCTGGAGCCAGCTTCGGTGCCATCGTCTCACTCCTCACCTTCATGTACTCCGGCGAGGTTAACGTCTACGAGGAGCAGATACCCATGCTGCTCAATCTGGCCGAGACGCTGGGCATTAAGGGACTGGCCGATGTCCAAAATAACAACGTAAGTCATACTTCTGTTTAGAGATTCAACAGAGTGAGAAAAATCAATTGAAAATTTGAGAAGATTAGTATTTTCATCGGACTTACATACATATATACCTCGAACTTTCATAACTCAAAGTTCTTGCTTTTCTGGCTTTGTTTACACTACATAAAAGTAAGATTATTAGATATTCCTCAAAAAAAGATAAACTTTAAAGCAACTAAATAAATAATTCTCACGATTTATTTTTAACATTATACGCTCCAAAAAGTGCAAAATCAATTAAAAATTTGAGAAGATTAGTATTTTTCGGACTTATACACCTCGAACTTCCCAACTTGCTTTTCCGGCTATGTAGTGAAAATAAAAGTTCGATTATTAGATATTCCTCAAAAAAAGATAGACTTTAAAGCAACTAAATAAATATTTCTCACAATTTATTTTTAACATTATATGCTCCAAAAAGTGTATTTGACTCTTTATATCACCTTCACATCTGCTAAGTGTACAATTTCATATTGACCATTTAAAAAAAAACCTGAAGTACATAAAAACTGTTTGCAGATTTGAATATTTGTGTGAGAATTTAAAAAAAATCGATAATGGCATTGCTATTTCAAGTTAGTAGAATAATTTTGTACAGATTTATTTTCTAAGAATATTTATGTCACCCGTATATTCATCATAAGATTTATTTTCTGACCTTGTCATTCCTGCAGCTACCAAAGACGACAAGGAGTGGAGACGCCTCCTACACGGATCCCAGCAACGAGAAGTCCTCTGAGTTCGAGCGCCCCAGTACGCCCTCCCCGACGCCGACGCCCACCCTCACGCCCTCCCACACGCCCACTCCGAGCCTGCCCCTCCCCCTCCCAATGCCCCTGCCCCAGCTGCCCAGTCCGGCGCTAAGCACCCCCCTCCTGGCCAACAAACTGGGATCGGTGGGGGCCACTGGAATGGGCACCACGCCCCTGGAGAATCTCTTCAAGTCGCTGCAGTTCTACCCCAGCCTGCTGCCCCAGCCCCTCAACTTCTCGCAGACGGCACTCAATAAGACCACGGAACTGCTGGCCAAGTATCAGCAGCAGTGCCAGCTCTATCAGAGCGGGATGCAGGAGGAGCACCTGGAGGCGGACTGCTTTGGCACCAAGAGGCTGAGGGGCGAGAGTCCGCCCAAGGAGCTGAGGAGGCTGGAGAAGAGTCTGGCCAAGGGTCCAAGGACCTCGTCAACGGTGAATAGCAACAGCATCAAGTCGCCGCCGGAGTGCTCCATCCCCAATCCCATTGTGGCCACTTCGCCAGTGACCCTCGCTCCGCCGGCCATGGCCCACTTTTCGCCCCAGCTGCCGGTGGTCAAGTGCTCCTCGGCCAGTTACCCCAGCCCCTTGGGCCAGGGTCAGCTCTATAGCAGCAAACCGGCGTTGTATAGTGCCGCTGCCACGCCCACGGCCGCCCAGCAGGCGGCCCAGATGCACCACCACCCACCGGGCGGACAGACGCCCTACATCTCGGCTGAGGATCACGCCAAGCTGCAGCTCCACATCGAGCAGTATCAGCGGGAAGCGGCCGCAGCCGCGGCAGCAGCAGCAGCGGCCGCCGGGGGAATGGCGCTGGTCAGCGCCAAGTCGGAGCCCAATCTGCTCTCGCTGAGCGCCGACCGCGACAAATCGCTGGCCACCGCACCCATCAAGCCGCCGTCCAACTCCAAGCTGTATGCCACCTGCTTCATCTGCCACAAGCAGCTGAGCAACCAATACAACCTGCGCGTCCACCTCGAAACCCATCAGAATGTGCGGTAAGTCGGCTATAAAGTTTTAATTTAGTCATCCGACTTGTAGAAAGGTGACAGACAATTGAATTACTAGAGTCCACACATTCCTCTTAAGACTTGTGGTCTAATTCTCTAATAATATGCAATCAATTTTGTCATCAATTAATCAATTTTTTGATCCACTTTTATGTTATTTATTTATTAAGTATTCTATGACTTTTAAAAAGGTGACCCACAGTTGGACTTCTAGAGTCATTACGTTACCAAATTTAAGCCGATTTCAAAGGTACACACCTCTTAAGACTTGTGGTTTTCCTCCCTAAAAATCTGTATTTAAATTTGTCATTTTAACGTTGATAAATTTTTTGACCTATTTTCTTGTTAGTTATTTAATAAGTTACCGGTGACTTGTAAAAAGATGACCCGCAATTGGACTTCTAGAATCCATAACTTCACCAATTTTCAGCCGATATGAAAGTAACATACCTCTTAAGACTTTTCTTTTTTTTTTTATTTATTTAAAGCTGAGTTTTTTATACCCGTTACTCGTAGAGTAAAAGGGTATATTGTATTCGTGCAAAAGTATGTAACAGCTAGAAGGAAGCGTTTCCGACCCTATAAAGTATATAGATTCTTGATCAGGATCACCTCCTGAGTTGATATAGCCATGTCCGTCTGTCCGTCTGTCCGTCTGTCTGTCTGTCTGTCTGTCCGTATGAACGCTGAGATCTCGGAAACTATAAAAGCTAGAAGATTGGTATTTTGCATGCAGATTCTAGGAGTTCCTACGCAGCGCAAGTTTGTTTCAAAAAGGTGCCACGCCCCCTTTAACGCCCACAATCGCTTATATACGATTTTAAAAATTTAAATATTTGGGAAAAGTAAAAATGCAGTTTTATTGTGTTTATCAATACCTATCGAAATGTAGAAGAAATTTTTCAAATCGGACCATTCGTTAAAAAGTTATGCGTGATCAAAGTTTCTATCTCCATTTCCCTCGCACTCCCTTTACCAGAGTAACGGGTATCTGATAGTCGGGGCACCCGACTATAGCGTTCTCTCTTGTTTACATCTAAGATCGTTCGTTCGTTCGAAATCCTAGAATTAACGAACTGGATTACATGTCGTATAAGTAATCTTACAATACAATTACATCATTACATAATAAATGGACTACTATATGTTTTCTATCCAGGTACGCGTGCAATGTCTGCTCCCACGTGTCCCGCAGCAAGGATGCCCTTCGCAAACACGTTAGCTACCGACATCCTGGGGCACCGTCGCCCTGTGAGAACGAAGCTCGGCGGAAGCGGGTCTCCAAGCTGACGGCGAGCTCTGTGCCGTCGGTGGTCACACCCACTATCACACCTACTTCGATACCCATGGTCACGCACACGGTGACCAGCGGGGAGGTGGGTCCGGCGCCGGCGACCACAATCGGATGCCAGGGACAGGAGGGTCGCAATCCTTACCTCTTCCTGCCCAACCAGTTTCAGATGGCGGCTGCCGCAGCCGCCGTGGCGGTGGCCGAATCCTCGCCAGCTTCTGGCCAGCCATCGCTGGATTTGGCCCACGAGGCGCCGTCGGGCATCAAGAGCGAACGGGAGCCACCGGCGGCCAGCAATGGAGAGGCGACAGGTGTGGAGACATCAGCGGCAACCACCTGAGGATAATATTTTCAAATATATTTTTGATTTGTTCTACTCACCACACAGACACGCACACAGACACAAGGAACACGCCCACCCACGCACATGCATATTCAATAGTGTTGGGTGGCTCAGAAGTGAACAAAATTTAACGCCTGATTTCGTTTATAATACCTATCAAATCTGGTGAAATATAATTCCTTAGATATTTTTGAATACCTAAAGTTTAAAACCATACATCAAAATCCCTTTTAATACAAGTTTTTTAGACTTATATGAACTCAAAATTTAAAATTTAATTCAATCTCAATTGTTTTTAAAAACCGGTGAGACATTAAAACAGTTCTTTCGGTTCATCCATCGACAGTTTCTTAATTAATCAATCAAATTTAGAGCATTGTTCCATTATCCTGGCATATTCCACCTTATTTGATAGGGAATTAAACAGATTGCAGGGAATTAACAATTAAATTTATGTCAAAGATCACTTGCCCTTGAAGTAAGCCATTTTTCCTGCACCCAACACTAATATGCCTTTGCCATCTTTTAGCCCCACCGAAACCAACGTCTTAAACCCGGCTGTGATAATTAGCGCAATTCGTTTTTCGTCTTCTGCACACAAACACATGCGAGCGCCTTTCTAGCTATCTTAATTTATGTACTTACTTTTAGCACAATTTACGTTTATTATTTCACAAACTGTAGCAACCTCCGAGGCTCTGAAACTGCAAGTTACAAACAATTATTACCTATCGCTTTCACGCTCTCTCACAAGCACACGCCCACACATTCTAGTAAATTAAGCCAAGTTTTTATAAATATTGTAATTATACACCTGAACACGCACACACACTTGCACACAAAAAGACAGGGTGAAAACCTACAAAACACAATTTTAAAAGGAATAAATGTTTAAGAAGCCTAAGAAAATGTGCGTGTTTAGCTGATTCCCGATCGACGCCAAACCAAAAAGGAAAGGAGGCTGGAGCTATGCAAAAACTAGTATATTTCATTTCATAATACAATAATTTATGTACGCTGGCGTACTTTACATATCTTTGTGTTTCCTTTCGTAGTTCGTAGTTTCAGTAGTATAAAAAAGTTGATCGAAAAACACAGACGCAAACAATAGCGGAGCAAAATAATTGGATATCCATGATATGATGATTAGCAAACACTTTGGGCTTAAACTTAAAGACATGACATGAGGGGTAAAGACATAAATAGCTAAATGTAAACTCTTGCACTTAAATGAAATGAAGCCAGGGCGCGGGTTGCTGCTCTCCCTGGATAAGTATAAAAATATGCTTCACGGCTGGGTCATCATTTAGATGCTTTCCACGTGCCACACTTTGGTGTTGCAGTCCTGTCCGGTGGAGATCACAGTGTTGTTGTCCAGCCAGACTAACCGAGTGATTTGCGACTGCGGATGGGCATCTGAAATGAGTTAGAAAACGAAAAGTCACAAAACACTCAATTCTTAGTTTCTTCTTGAAAACTCACTCTTGATGATGGTGTGCTTGGCCGGATTGGCCACCGACCAGATAATGATGGTGGTGTCCAGCGAACCACTGGCAACCAGCAGTGAGTTGGGCGACCAAGCCACTGTGTTGACACGAGCACTGTGGAAGCCCCACTCCTTGTTGTGAGCAGGCTGAAAAAACACATTAGTTGGATTAGTGGGATTAAACCTCAATATAAGTACATTACCTTGTACTCCTCCACCGAGTAGAGCACCACCTTGCGATGGGCATCGCAGGCCACCAGATACTTTAAGTCCGGCGAGTACGACACATCCGTGACCGCGCCCAAGTGATCCAGCTCTACCTTCGGCTCCAGGACACCGCCTTTGAGGCTGTAGATGTGCAGCTTTTGGTCGTCACCGCCGACAGCCACATCGGAGGTGTCCGCATTGATGGCAATCGAGCTGGCTTCGAACTTAATGGGCAGTGAGAAGATCTTCTTCTGGTCCTGCACGAGGGTCACCTCCTTGATGCAAGCCAACGCTATGATGTTCTCGCTGCGGAGAATGGCAAGGCCGCGAGGCTGGCAGTTAAGCTTCACCACATAGTCGGTGTAGGTGTTGCCTTCAACGCTGAACTGGCGCAGGCTGTCGTCGATGCCGCAGGTGTAGACGAAATCGCCCCAGGCGGCAATGCCATTAATTTGGTTCCCATGTCCGGTGCCCGTGATGCGATCGTTGGTGCCGCTTCCCGAATTCCAGTTGGTCACCACGCCGTCGTGGCTGCCCGTGTAGATGGTGCTGCGGTCATCGCTCAGACCCAACACGGTGATGGGCTTATTGTGGCCCTTGACCACGCGCAGCGGTTTCGACGGATCCGCCACATTGAGGTAGGTGATCACGCCCGACAACGAGACGGTGATGAGATGCTCTCCCTGCCACAGGCACGAAACCTGCTGGTCATCAACGGTGGTGCCCATTACGAACTCGCTAACCAATTCGCGCGATTCCACCGTCCACAAGCGGCAGGTCTTGTCACCAGAGCAGGTCAACAGTTGGCTGCCATCCGGCTTCCAAGCTAAAGCGTAAACGCCGCCCTTGTGGGCAGGCGAACCGAACTCGCCCACCAATTCAGAGCTGGTGCCGTCGTACAGGAAGACTTTGCCATCGAAGCCGGCCGAGGCGAAGAACTTGCCATCGGGCGAGTAGCGCACAGCCTGGACAAACCTGGAGTGATCCTGCTTGGTCATCTTGAACTTGAACGGGGGTCCCTCGAACACGGCCACTGTGTTGTCTTCGCTGCCTGTAAAGACGAGATTGGTAATTCGATTTTTTTCCTACACCCTTTAACTATTTGCAGTGCTCACCTGTCACAATACGGAACGGCCGGGCTGGCCTGAAGTCCGCTGAGTTAATAGACTTGGACTGACCGCTGATCTCGCCAACCGACGTGCCTGTTTCAGACATAAAAACATGTCCGAAACGCTCTCGTCCTTCTCCCACAGCCACGATGCGTTGATTGTCCGGCGACCAACTGATGTCCTTGATGGGTCCTGCAATGGGCTGGAACTCATTCTTAAGCAGGTGCTCCTTGTTGACCGTGTCCCAAATGCGAATCTTGCCCGAGGCGTCTGAAAGCAGAAGGTGGAAACCAAATAAATAACTTTGTTCAAATCGAAACCACAGATAAGATAAAGAAACCGCTCCAAATAGGGAAATGCTAATCACAGGCCATAGCGTGAATCATGTTGGTCACGATTCTTTATGCTTCGCTGCGCCAAGACGGGTGCTCCAAGTGTGAAATTGCTGGGCGAAACTTACCGCCAGATGCAATGTAGAAGCCGCTGGGCGAGTACTTGGCCACGTTCACTGCACACGAATGCTCCGTGTAGACATCGGCGATGGCTGGATTCTATTGTGGAAAGAAAGGAAAACAGATATGTAATTTAGAAACACTTTTATCAAAACTATGGATTTCTTAAAGAGATAGAGAGGGGACAGTGAGCAGCTTTTGGAATCCCTTTTACCAGAAATACGGATTAAGAATCACTTTTACAAAAAAACGAATAAGGTGTCATTTGTTGGGAGAATGACAGGGAAGCAGAGAAGGTATTTAAAAATCACTTTGCAAAATTATCATATTCGGGCGGGAGGCAGATAAACAGAGTGGCTGTAGTGAAATTACTTTCAGACAAACTATTGATTATATAGAAGGATAATCCGGAAAACAGAGGGCACACTTTGCTAGATTTAAAGATTATAGAAAGAACTTAAAAACAAAGGGGATGTGAAAGAAAAAACTTAATATTGAAGAACAAAGAAACAGAATTGTATTCGATTTTAAACGAATTCTACGGGTGTAAAGCAGGGAAACCATAGGCAGCTTTTTACCAAAAACAAACAAGATCATAATGATGATGCGTGGGCGACAAACAAGAAATTTCTCTGTGTGTCAGTCTGTGTGACTGATTTTGCCGGTTGGCCTGTGGAATGGGAATATCTGTGTTTTGCGCCGTATATAAAAATAAATATAGAACAGCTGCCACCAGAAAGAAAGCAAACACACAAACTGGCAACAGAAACTGCAGCTGTCCAAAAATAAAACATGATTTGGAAAAGAACATGGATTTATGGCAGGAGCAGCAGCAGACTGCATATATCAGCTTACCTCGATGTTCCGGATGATCACTGAGTTTCCATTGGTGTACAGGAAGTTCTTGCCCTTGGGATCAGATCCCAAGACGATGGGTTGGCCGCGTTGGGTGCGCGGCAGAGTTGCGTAGATATTTTCTGAAATTAATGTGGGCACTACGATTAGAAATGGGGACTGGGCAAAAGATAAAGCCGGCGAAATCGCAGGGAGTGGGTGAAAACAGGGTGCGGCTACATTTTTTGGGGGGCGTCGGGATGCCCCGCCCCCTTGTTTTTATGCAGGTCTATCATTACAGCTATGCCCATTTATGGGCATAATCACGGCGCTTCCGGCGATTTTGCTTTTTGCTTTTACAGTTTTCGCCTGTTGACTCATCCCCCTTTATTCCGACTTGGATTGAGATTGTCAATGGGGTATTTAATTCTGCGGTGCCAACTCACTGTTTTCGTACGCCGGTGGTTGCGGTTGAGCCATTGCGGTGGTTTCTCTGTTCTTGTGGTTTACGAACGTTTACTAATTAATGCGAATTTCCGCCGATTAATGAAAACACCAAACTCAATTCTCGCCGACGAACTGTGTGCAATGTGACCAGTTCGCGACGCGGTACAATTCCTCCGAAGTGAACTCCTACGCCGGTTGGTATTTTAAGAACCGCCCACGCAATAATACCAACGATGCTTTGGTATTTTTATTTTGGTATATAAATTGACGTATTGTTTGATTTTCTTAGACGAATTTTTTGGTTGGCAGTATCGGCATTATTCAGAAATAGATAAATAAATGTTCATATATGTCGTTCTTTGATTTCTAAATTAACCGCGAAAATATAATAAATTGGTACTAATTTAAAAAATTGATTCAAAATTAATTTGAAAAAACAATATTATGTAAATAAATAATGACAGATATTAATTAAAATGAAAATCAGATGTTTATAGAAATGCAATTAAGTAAAATTTATAAACTTGACTTTAATTTTGAGCAGTGCATGTAGAAAACTAAAATGGTATCTTTTTTTGGGTGAACGTCATTTTTAGGTACTCTACTTCTGGCCACTCTAGACCAATATTGTTGTTTACGTTTTTAAGCATTTCAATTTGCGTAAAAATGATGCAAAGATTTCCGGCGCAGGCGATGGTGGAGAATCCCCGCTACGGCCAACTGATCATTGGACCTCCTGGTTCCGGGAAGACCACCTATTGCGCCGAGGCCTTAAAGTTCTACCGCGAACTGGGTCGCCAAGTGGGCGTCGTGAATCTGGATCCTGCCAACGAGAACATGTCCTATGAACCGGTGCTCAGTGTAATGGAGCTAATCACCGTCGAGGATTGCATGGAGCACCTGCAGCTGGGACCAAATGGATCCCTGATGCACTGCGCGGAGTACCTGGCGGATCACCTGGAGGATTGGCTGCTGCCGGCATTGCGAAAACTGGGCGCCACCCACAACTACTTCCTGTTCGATTGTCCCGGGCAAATTGAGCTCTACACTCATCACAGCGCCATGGCGCGGGTTTTCGAGAGATTGGAACGGGAGCGTTATAGCCTTGTCACCGTAAACCTCATCGATTCGCATTACTGCTCCGAGCCGGCCAAATTCATTGCCACCCTGCTGATGGCCCTGAATACCATGTTGCGGATGAGTCTGCCCCACGTTAATGTCCTTTCCAAGGCTGATCTGTTGAGGAAACACGAGGCCAAGCTGCACTTTAATGTGGACTACTACACGGACGTGCTGGACCTTAAATATCTCCTGGATAAGCTAGACGATGATCCGGCCATGCGAAAGCACCGCAAACTGAATGCAGCCATTTGCTCCATGGTGGAGGACTACGCCCTGGTCTCGTTCCAACTGCTAGACGCCTTCAGCACGGACAGCATGCTGCGCCTGCGCAACCACATCGATAAAGCCAACGGATATGTTTATAAGGCGGGCGAGGAGCAGACGGTCAACTCACTGCTGGCATGCGCCGTGGCAGCGGAAACGGAGGCAGCTCGCCAGCAGCATGACATTCAGCCTTACGTGGATTAAACATTTTCGGTTAAATCGAATATGGACCTCGCCGTACAAGAGCCTGTGATAAAACTCTCTGTATTTGAAAGACAGCATTGGGGGAAAATGCAGGTGCCCAAGATATGCAAGCTGACTTTAAAAACCCGATGCCTAAACCTAGCAGTTAATCGGTTATTAAAGATTTTGATTTACTTCCCAGATGGCAAACAATTTTATAAAATACATAAAAGAAATTTAATAAAATTGTTTTCTATGATTGGTTGATTGTATGCATCTTTGCAGTTTAATTTTCAATACTAGTGTATTTTACCACCAAACTGATCCTTAGGTCTAAGCAAAATTACTCTGGGTCGCATGAACGACTACATTAATTCTGTAACACATATCGGATTTTCTGCGATTATATTTTAAGATAATAATCAAGAGGTTGCCACAAGAACACCCAGATACACCTATCAGTAGATTTTTAAGGTTTTAAAACCAAGACTAGATGGCGCTAATAACACTATGTTGTGTTGCGTAAAATGTAGAATGGTGTAGAGATTGCTATTGGCTAAAAATCACTTAGAACGGCAGTCCACGTAGTGACGAAAGTGCGGAGACTGATAAATACTCCATTTAAAAATTAATCAATTAACATTATTTTTTGGCAATATTCCGATTGGAATCATTATAACATGAATGTCAGGGCATCCTCCAAGTCAGTGAGTTCATTTATTTTTAAAAAATGAATTGATTAATTTAATTTGTTTTATACCATCTCACTATCATTTGTATCTATTATATAAGCCTTGGTAGCCCAAATAAAACGCTGATGATTTAATCAAATGAATTTATTTAAATAAATTAGCGCATCAACCTTTAATTATGAAACTTTTTGAATAATTATATTAAAAACTTCAATAAAGTGCTTTAAAGTTTGTTTACACGTTCTTAATAAACTAAAAAGCTGCATTTACAAAAAGCGTCCTTTTCAATGGGGAACATTAATTCCTTCGTGCCGTTTTGCAAACAAATGTTTCGACAGGGAAGGATCTGCATGTGGACCCTGATTTAACTAAAAGCAAAAGCCTCGTTAACATAAATAAAAATTAATTAAGTCCGAGGCGCGCTGTTTGGCAAGATAAGAGCTCGATCGACCGGTGAACATCTCGTGGCAAGCTGCAAAATGTGGCACGTGCACCGCAAAACGGGATCGCTATAGACTCCTAACCCAAGTCCAGATCGTGAGCACTCGTGGGGCAATTTTACAGGCGCGAGCAGACGAGTTGGGAAATAAAAAAACAAGCACGGATTGCAAACTTTTAACACCGAATCATGAAATATCCTCCCAGACCACTTACTTTATTGCATCCTATAATAAAAAGAGGTTTATTGCACAACAGAGTAATTTAAATACTTGAAATTTTTACCAAGTTTAGGCAATTTCAATTAGCAATTTTACATATACATAATTTAGTGAAGATCCTTCGAAATCCTTTAAAATTTGATAATCACTTTTAGAAATTGATAAATATTTTAAATTGGTTTCTTTAAATCTCATTAGCAAGAATTTTATAAGGTACTCGATGGGAAACAACTTTTTAACAGCTTATTAAAATTAATATTAAAAACCACATACATTTCTGGGCTCTGCTTAAAATTGTAATTCCTCATTTTAGGGTATATAAAAACAGCGGCAAAAACGAAAACAGTTATTAAATGCAGCAGGCTCTTGTCAGATTGCAGCAGGCTGGCTGCCAATTCCCCGATCCCCTTGACCGCAAGCCAAATTAAAATAAACGAAAGTGGTTTAAGCCCAGGACGAACTGAGAGACGAGCTCGGATTCGTTTTGGCTTTGGGATTTGTGTAAAGCAGCGGGCTGCGGTTTCGTTTTTGGCACACACTCTAAAGGATCTTTGGGCCAACGTCCCCAAGAAACCATAAGTGCGATCCCCTTGCGATGTAAGCGCGCCAAGCTTAACAGTTAAGCGACCTGGCCTGTAAGAGCGCTATTTGGTTTTGCTTTTCTGGCGAGCCACGGCAACGATTGCGGTCAAAAGACGCGCGTCCTGTGCCCGAAAAGCAGGTGCACTATAGCAGCAGCAGTCGGGAAAAAATGCCAGCTAAGCAAGAGGAAAAAAAAAACAGAGGAGTTTGGGTGCTGGATGCATGGGACTAGAGATTACCTCACATCGTATCGTTCAAATTCTGAGAAATATTTTTTATTGGCAAGCGATCATCTTATAGGGAAATCATATTCTCATTACATTTAAACTAGCTTGGAGAAATCAAATGGGTAATGGAATTTTTTAAATAAATCTTTTTTCAATACTATGACTAAATTATTTTAATAAACTTCTCTAATTTCTTTGACGACAGGAACCGAAAAGAATATCTATTCAGACTTATTTTTAAGATTTGGCTTCTTTAACTTACCTTTGCTAATATTTAACATGTATATGGAAAATAAATAAAAAAGCATTATTTTTTAAGAATACGATCCATTTTGCATGTCTTAAGAAAAACTACTTAAATATTTATAATTTGAAATATTTATTTATTATACAACCATCTTACCCCACTGACACCCTGGACACCCCAATCCTATTATTACACGGTATAAATGCCTAAAAAAATGCCAGGTCAAGTGGGAATCTAGATACGAGTAGAACTCCTTCTAGGGGAAGTTCCAACTCGGCGAAGGGAACTCAATATTTGATTGATCTTTTTACATATTCGTGAGAGGGGGAGGGGGATGGGATGGCCCATGTGGAGGATATTGAGCCGACCCGAAACTCCGATCGTAGGTAGGCCGGCATTGCGATCCCGAGTATCCTGCGTATCCTGCGTCAGTTGTGCTGAAGCCACAGCAAGAGGAGCAGCAAACATATGCCATATGCTGCACTTGAAGCGCAGGCAGCAACCAAAGGCAGCGGCCAAATCATTAACTTAAGGCTAACTGTAGTCCCCGATCCATTGTCTTCATCCCCGAAACAAAAGCGGAACCAAATGCTCAATCTTGACCGGAACTGTAATTTGATCGAGCCCTGCGCACAGATATTAGATACGATAAGATCTTCCATCTCGAAGCAGCAGCAGCAGCAGCTTTTTCCTGTCGAAAATTATAAACTAAGCTCCACTAGATCGAGATTCTTCGAGGAACCTCTCCGGGTTATTCACCCGTGCGAAAGATCGCCCAACAGTTGCACATTTTTGTGTCCTTTTTTCGCCCTTTTTTCCTGACTGTTGCTCATTTTTTTTTCTTTGCCTTTTTTTTGTACCTGAGCTCCTGAGTTCCTGAGTCGCCTTTCGGTCCTTGGGTTCGGGATCGGGGCGCGTGCCTGCTGTCGTCGTCGACTTCGTTGGGTTTCAGTCCTGCTTTCGGTGCATTTGTATTCGTATAAGTATCTGTGTCTGTATAAGTATCTGTGCCTGTATTGGTATCTGTATCTGAACTGAGCACATGACGCTGCTCACCTCTGTTTTTGGCTTTTGCTCTACTCCGTTGAGGTTTCTGGCTTGAACTGTAATTCAGGCCGCTGCTTATGCAAATATTTTGATCAGACGCCGAGACGAGGACAGTTGGAAGTCAACAGGATTGCAAAGGGAGTAAACAAAGCAACGAAATTCAAGGGGAACTGGAGCAAATGTTAGGGCTTTCAACTGTAAAAACACACATTTTTTTATAAATGTTAGTTTTAAGAGTATAATTTAAAAGCTACTAATATTATCTGAAAGAAGAAGTTATAATAAAAATAAAATATTTGTCTGAGAATACATTTTTGAAACATACTCTTTTCTGGGGCTTTATTTTAGACATCTCGTAAGCACTTAGTAAAAATATATTACACAACTATTTTATGATTTAATTTGTTTGAGAATAGAATATATGGGAAGTTTAGGAAATAATGAAGATATGACAAGATTGCAAAAAAGACCAAGGGACTAGTACTCAAAATTTTGTTTTGATTGGCTTAGTTCTGAACAACTGTCAGTATCTGGATATGCTGATGGGATTATCCCGGTTTGGATTCTTAAGCCTCTTCTAATTGTTGCCCAACCGATTCGAGTAGCCAAACAAACTCATAAATCTTCCCAAACTTTGTCCCTTTCCTGCAGTCTCCTGCCATCGTTCATACAAGACGCGTTGACATTTATGAATTGCTTGGCAATTTACGCGACACAAACCGCCAAGACACCCACTACCAATGCAACAGTAGCAAAAAAAAAACCATTGCACAGAGAATAAAATCAAAATATTAAAAGCTTTCTAAATATTTTATATTTATTATATTTCCTTATAAACATTTCTTCAATAAAATAAAATTCATTTTCGATAAGAACGAAAGATAATATAGGTTTAGGAGACTGGTATAAGCTGGCATTTTTGATAACAGAATGATAACCAAGCAAACATATACGAAAAATAAAAAAAGCTATTTATATTTTATTATATTTAAATTTTTTATTTATTTTTAATTTTTTATTTTAATAAAAGTTAGTACAGCTGCCGAGTTGGTTGCCAATCGATTTAATACTTTGTTTCTAATAGATAAATATTTTTACACATCTTGCCCAGGAACTCCCTGAGGTTGAGAAAATAGTTAATTATTCGTAGTGCCATGTTTTAATGCCAGAAACTTATTTCGACAGTGTTTTTTCTTAGTGTAAGACCCAGCACCACACGTAGCATTCTCGGTCGACAATTTACACCAGGGGATATAGCCTGAGAGCGAAGATGCCGAGATGGGGCTGGCGCCGACTATTTGGCTTGAATGGGTCGCTAAATCAAGCAATTATGAGGGCCTTTGTCGCAAGCAGCAAAGTAGCCAAGTAGCCGAGTACCAAGTACCAAGTACCAAGTACCAAAACATATGCAAATCAGCCGCCTGACCAAGACGAACAGGCTAGAGGCTGCCGGAGATAAAGGGAAATCTGTTCAGGCCAATGAATTGATTTTCTCTGCGCCCATATAGCCATTCGACTGCCTGACTTACGCCGACTGACTGGTCGGGATCGGAATCGGGATCGGGGCTAGTTTATCGGCCAACTGCCACGCCCCCCGCCGCGCCCCTTTGAGCCCTGCCACACTGCATATATGCAAAGCAACCGCCAAAGTCAAAAGAGAGTTTCGGGAGCTCGTTTTGGTGCCGCAAAGCATCCTCGGCTTCTGCGGCGACTGCGTAGAAGCCGCACGCCACATTTCAATGATAAATGTTGCCCAGAGTCCGGTCGCAGCGGCAGAGCCGCACTGGAAAAAACAATGGCCACAATGTCAACCAGAAA